TATCTACCCGAATGCGCGCACACATAGATTTTACAAACACACACATACACAGACACATAGTCGTATATACGTGCATACATACATGCTTATATAGTGCACAGGAGGACATGCCACCACTGTGTAACTCAAATCCTAGGGGTGACTTTTCAACTGCTGCCTGGCAAGTATAATAAAGAGGATGGACGCATCGACTCCTGAGCTGCACTTCCAGTTAACTTTAATTAATTTTGAATTTTGGGCGCGCATTTCCATTTTCAAAGGTGGCCAATTACAGTAACAAGACTGCAGATTTGGCCAATCGTGGGATAATACTTATTGATTATCTTCCGAAAGAACTACCATCAAGGGCGCGTGTTATGCGAACATATTGCCATGTTTATTTGCCACAAAAGAAGGTGTTGGTTCATCAAGACATTGTCGAGGTCGAAATCAATGATTTCAGGCCCAAATTGCATCCTTGCGTACCTTTTTCCATGGGAATGGCTCGTTGGAAAAAGATTTGCCAACAATAAAGAGGTGGAGTCTGCGGTTGGTAGCTATTTTGAGCACCATCAGGGTATCCAAGCTAAAAGGGGACTATGCATGTAGAGAAATAAAGATAGTTTGGGACAACCCTCGTATATAGCATATGTAGAAACTCGTAGGCCACTTTTCACAACTTGCTCTTTCAAAATTGCCCAAAGGTCTAAGAATACGCTATTTTGAGGGTGCGTTCTGATACATTTCCGATTCAAACGACAATTCCATTAACTGTACACATCAAGATTTAGTCAACATTTTCACAATTTAATGTGTCACCAAGTGTGGATTGTTGAGTTGTAGTGCTATCTAATGATTAATAAAACGAAATGTAAAGTATAGACTTTGAAATATATTTTATACACCTTGATCTTCAAATTATTTCGGTTTTATCATCTATTTTGCTCGGACCAATCTGAATGCTCTAAAAGGGACAGTTAGTTCCATCAATTCGAATTAATTGCTTTATCACCAAAACTTCAGTACCTCGTAGTGGCTAACTCCTTTTTTTTTTGGGCGAAGGTACCAATCAAGGTATCAATCTGTTGGTTTTAACAGATTTATTTTAAAAGGGCCATTATCCCATACATAATATTCATAATTAGAAAATCAATTTGTTATCAGCTCAGTATTTAGTACAACAAAAATACATAAATAATAAAGCTGAAGATAAATAAAATACAATATTGACTAAAAAACCAATACCTTAAATATTCTGTTAGGTTTTTTAAAAATGTCGGATCGAAGGAGATTCCATACATTTCTCCACGAAGGCCTCTCCGGATTTTAGAAATTTTGAAAAGTGTATCCCAAACTAAACTGGACTTTTTCAAAAAATAATTTTCTTGTGGCGGCATTGGTTTAGTTAGGTACACCGAAAAAAGATATGGATGGATAGATAGTCGAGTTATCGCACACAACGTACGGTACAAAAATAACAAAATATCTAAATAATAAACATTTCTATGGGTATTGGAGTAAAGTTACGTTTATTAAAGATTACAAGAGCCTGCAGTGTAAACATGGTTTCGTTATTTTTGTTCCTTCAAATTTCAGAATTCATTCAGAATTTTCATTTACACAGATATAAGGAGATATAGGGCGCCCTACATCAGAATCAACAATGCATTAATATACACTGGGAGATTATAATTTGTAGCAAAACGCAAAAACATAAATTTTAGGAAATTATTGTTCCAAGAATTTGAAGTGCGTCATAATTGTTTAAAAGTGTTGTAATTACGTGTGTATTTAAATTTTTATTAACAATGTTAATCTACAAAGTTCAGAATTTGATAACCCCAGTCAGCATTAAGAGATATGCCCTATCCTATGGCAAAATATAAAGATGTGGCGCAAATTTATTTATAGTAGAAGTATAGTATATGAGAGTATATGACAATACAATGTGCAATACATATACTCGAACTATCGCTTTCTTTATCTACTGTTAAACTTTTTAAGTGGCCACGATATTTATTATTGTATTATCCTTTGTTACTTGTAGAACTAATTTTCGGCTTAGTTCTTAGTTTAAAATTGCGAAAAAAAAGTATAAATATCGATGTAAATATAACAGTATTTACCGAAATATAAAATTAATTGCTGTTGCTGATGCAAATATTAAATTATAAGATCGGTGCTTCGGGACAGATTTTTTTCTGTATTTTAATCGCAGTACTCCAAGGCTGATCACATGGTACTGCGATATATCGATAATTATTTAATTCGATATTTCTTCAAAAACTCTGCTTAGAACTTTGTTTTAGAGCTCCTTTTACTTAATTGTGTCATTTTAGGGGCAGTACTCCAAGAATGCGAAAAACGCCTCAAATAATTATCGATAACAAATTAATTCACTGTTTTATTAACAACTCTGTTTAATGGAAATCTATCTCTTAACGAAACTCTATCGGCCTGCCTTAAATGCAACCACTTCTTCAATTATTTATGTGTTTAGGACCGAGCTCTTTAGTTTCCCAACCCAATAGCCAGAACTAGCCGTCGATAGTTCAGCCATGAATGCTACCAAATGTGAAACGCTAGTTGGCTGATGATAAATTTTGAACGAGTAGTGCTGAGTCGTCTCTGCGCGTATTTGAATTGGTCGATGTGCGTTCAATCTGCTGTGCGCCTGCTGCAAATTTTCGCTACTTTATATTCAATAATATGTATTGGGAAAAACTTGTCGGTGGCATTGTCGATGTCGTCGCTTGCGCCACATGTTGAACAGAGACGCAGCAATCGTGGCAAGAAATGGCAACGGGAGTGGGTTCGGGACACGTGAGCAGACAATTCAAGTTACTTGTCTACTTTTTGCGCTAGTTTTTGTTGGGAGTTGCTGTTTGAACCGGTTTTCTGTTGTTGTTGTTGCTGTTGCTGTTGCTGTTGTTATAGTTATTGCTATACAAGTATGTTGCCTCTGCAGCAATAGTTGCACTGTCGCTGTCGCCTTTGCCTTTGCAATTTTCACCATCCTCGCATGGAAGTTTGGAACGAAGGCGCAACGTCGTTCACATGCACATTGCTGTGCGCCTCATCGCTGGTGGCACGAAACAACAACAGTGGCGCCCTCTGCATGTTGCAGCAGCACAAGAAGCTGAAAAGAAGATGCGGGAGAGGCGCGACGCCGCCAATTGGAGCAATGTTGCCATTGCTGTCTGGACTTGTGTCGCATGTTGCAGACAGTTGATGTTGCCCCTTGGGCGGCACTCGTTGTCGCATTTGTTGCAGCTGTTTGTTGCAGCCACATGTGGCGCGTCGTGGTTGCTGTCGCTGCCGTTGCCGTTGCTGCGACTACTGCTGCCGTTTTTGGCGCAGACGACATCTGTTTTGCACATCGCTTGCTTTTGCTCACTCGCTCCTCGATTGGTCGTTTGACTACTGAACCTGTTGTTGTTATTGTTGCTGCTGTTGCTGCTGTACTGGCTGCTGGTGGCTCTGCGCTGCAGCTGCTGCCAACATCTTGCGTGGCCGCAATTTGCATTTACGAGTTCGTACTTGTGGGGCTTTCCTTTTGCGGTTTACCTCGCGTGTGAACCAAATCAAAATTTTTGAAAAAATTGTTCTATGCGACTATCGTTGAATGAAATGGAAATTACACATTTGGTCTGGATTGTTTCTAAAGACCAGTTTTATCATTTAGTGGTAGTTTTAAGCTTCGAAATTATGTAACTATCGCAAGCTCGGCTCGAAAATCGCTTTAGGAATTATTCTGTGGATCTTTTAATTGCCTATCTCTGTACAAAGTTGTATTTGATGTGAATTTTAAATCACCAGAGGATTTGAACTAATTAAAGTCGTATATTCATTTGCATTAACAGTTAAATTTCAAAACAAATTTCACCTGAAATTGCAGGGCTAATATTAAGGAACATTCATTAAAAATCGACATGAACTTATTTATTTATAAGCCGCATCATTAGAGTTCAAACTAACCCAATTTAGAATCAATCTCCGGTTTCTTTAAATCAATGACAAAGTAAAGCTGAGTTAAATGGTTGTCAGGACGGCGAGGTTAGCATAGTCGCATTGTTTTGCGCATCAGAGACTGTGATTCCTTCCTTGTCAGGAGATTCCCCGCCACATTACTGTATTATCGCGTTAGGAGATCTACGGCAGTCAGTGTTGAGATTCGAGAGTTGTCCAAATTAAAATCCAGTGTCCTTCAAATTTATTTATTCGCATTGTTTTTCCATCAAAAGTGAAAGACGATTTACGGATGATTATTGCGCTTAAATATTAAATATTGGGTCTATTGAAATAACTCCTGAATTTGATTTCAAACTAAAACCCTTTTTTCATTGTGAATTTGGAATAATTATTAAAGCATCTAGTTGAATACTCCCTTATTTATTATTATATCTATTCGGACTGCAATTTAAAGTATGCACCTTAGATTTATTATACTTTTTAAACCTTTGCATGCATTAGCTATCGTCGACTTGCGTACCTGAAAATTTCAGCACCACACAAAACAGCTTTTAAATCTGTCGAGCTGTATTCACATATAGTTGTCCTTTATGGACTCAGAAAGCGCTTATAATAGGGCTTTTATATGATTTCAATCGCTAAATCACGATTACTTGAAACCCTTTTTACAGAAAATCTTTCTATCAAAATTTGTCTAAAATATTTGTGGCCGCAAACAGCGTTAAGGATAAATGATTTCTAACTTACAATCCCATATAAGTACTCGTATGTACAAAAACTGGCTACTGATAGTTAGCAGGGACATTATAGAAAATAATAGTGGAAGGCATCGTAGGATAACGTTAAACAAGAAATGGGTCGGGACAACGTTTTGGTGCCAGAATCTAAAAAAGCAAAAGTATTTTTCTGGTAACTTAAACTTGAAAGTTATTTAATTTCTACAAGTATAATAGATGATTAAGTATTGTAAAAACATTATCACTTATAGTGTCAATTTTGTTATTTGTTATCACACTAATTACATAGTTTCCGCTTTCTTCTCTCTGCAGTCACTCCAAAACTATTTGTGGCCTTCCGGGAAGCAACCAACTGCCCACAGCTAACACATTTATTATCAATTTATCGGAACGGCCGACTCCCGATAAGACATCGACTCAGCAGCTATAACAACAAGAACAACAACAGCGGCAGTATCAGTAGCAGCAGTAATTGCTGAAAATCGGGGGTAAGTTTCACTTCCACATTTTGTGTTGCTTCAAATTTTCCATGGCAAGCTGCTGCAACCACACACGACCCACCAAACGGCGCATGTGCAATGTTGCAGTGGTTTGGTTGAAGTGGGCGGTGATGGGATGGGGGGAGGGCACAGACACTCGAAGATACAGCACAGACAATTAAGCTAATTGTTGTGCTTGTGCTAGATAACTGACGAACCTGCCAGCACTCTCCGCTGTGTGCCTTTTGCCCCAACACGCCCCACCCCAGCATTGCATTGATGGGGTCGGGTCCATCATTGTAATGAGCATTGCCGGCAGATCTGTTAGCAGAACTGTAAATGCGGATTTCGGGCTTGGGTCTGGTACATGCTGTGGCCCGACAGTGTGCTGTGGCACGCCGTTGGCAGCACGTCACGCACGGGCTGCTGAAAAGTCACGAGCAGGTTTGGTGTGTAGAGTATGCTCGTTTAGTTTTGGTTCGCAACTAAAATCGGATCTTTCTCGCAATTCGGACTAGGCGCACAGCTAGTGCAGTTGCCTTGACGCGCTTTTCCAGGCCACACATTTTCCCATTTTGCGATTTTCCGATTTCCCTCAGTTGTTGTCGGCGGCAACGTTGCTTTTTTATGTGCCTAGCAGCCTGTTAGATTTTCGATTGAAATTGACTTTTTGCCATCTGAGACGTCGACAGTGCTGGCTCCATTTTGTTTGAAGCTATGGCACCATTTTGTTTGACGTCGTTTTCTAATGGGCTAACAGCATCGCAGCGCATGGTTTTTGTTTTGCATTGGAAAAGACACTTTTGCTTGTTTGCTTTATTTCCGCTGTCTTCACGTTGCTTAAAACGCGCGCGTTTTCATGTGTCTTTCATGTTGCTGTTTAGCATTATTACATACTGTTATACATACATACATACATATGTATGTACATGTGTATTTTTGTTGTCTAGCCTTCATTCAATATACAGATGCATGTACATATGTACATACTATACATATGTATATAAACTTGCGAATTTGTTTTTAAAAGTAAACTGCTGCGAAACTTGCTCAGCTAACAAGTGCGTATTTCATTTATTTACTTGTGTTGAAAACAAGGCTGTTTAGGCAAAAGAAAACTTAAAATATAAAAGGGTTCAAATTACAACACTAGCTAACAACGAATCCGAATTTATAGCATTATTGTCATGCACAGAAATTTTAGAAAAAATACCTTTAAACGAATAGTAACAAAATGAATATGACGAATTAAATTAAAATGAAAAAAAAATAATTTTTTAGATGCAGATAGTCTCTAATCTGGTTGGGGATGATTTATTAGTCAGTTTGCTGCTTTGTGTCTGCAGGAAAAATCTCAGCATCATTTTCTGTATGTGTGGTTGGTTGTGCTGTAAAGAAAACGTAAACAGAAACCAAAATTCAAAATGCATACTCACAAATACACACAAGAGAGCCAGAGAACGTTTCCCTGCAGTACCGAAAGGGTCAGTTGGCACTAAGATTCGGCGACACCAAAAATTTCACACTGATTAAGCGCATACTAAACTTGGCCAAATACAATGCAGCCCCCGCTATTTGAAAAAAAGTAATCAAAAAAGCACATTTAGAACTCGCCAACTACTTACTGTGGCGAATCGTTTTGAGGTGCATGGAAAATTTATACAACTTCGTCATGCCGTAGAACTAAGAATAAATAAAGAAACCGCAAAACATAAGTGCAGAGTAACGAACGCCAACCAACGAAATCCAACTACGTGCAATGTTCCCTAATGTTAACTTTGTTAGAGATTTGGCGTGTCCATTGCAGGCGAAAAGTGGGACTAACTCCCATTACTGCAGGGCATGAACCAAAATACATACAAACACACACAAAAGAGAGCAAGAGCCATCATTCGGCTGCAAATACAAACACATCGTGCGCTCACTCATTTCCTCTCTCATTCGTGTTAACATGAGGGCAGCGTGCTGCTTTTGCTGCGCGCCTGTTTATTTTTGCGATAGACGCGCGACGTAAGTCGCCGCCGTTTGGTATTGGCCTGAAAAAGTCGCCGTTGTCTCAAGAAAATGGCAGCGCCAGCGTCGGAATCGCGCGCACGCCGCATCGCGTTTTGTAGTCGCCGGCGATTTAATACGCGCCGATTTCGCAATATTTATGCCGGCGAGAGCGATTGTTAAATGTTAACTTTTAAAAGAACTGTTACTTAACAGTGGAGAGAACCACGAACAGAGTATTTGATACCGTTTTTGTTGGCAGTACGGATATTCCTGTTAAGCACGCAAAGCTGGACGATACAGTGTGCCCGAGTCTTTAATGCAAAATTATACTATTTTCTTCTGAAATTGTTACTCTAATATGTATATAATATGTATATACATGTAACATTTATTAATTCCATTTAATAGTTCCAATTCCGCAGTTTTCTTTTTTCCAACAATTTTTGGGAGTAAGATCAAGTTAAAAAAAAAACTGCTATGTGGGCATATAACAAAAGGATACCAATTCTCTTCAAAATATATACTGAAATGTATGTATATAATATACCATAAATGGGCACATATGTACATATATATGTATGTATGTATGTAAGTATGTATATTTGATTATCACATACTTTTCACGCATTGATCCTAAAATAAATCCTTATAGAAATGCGATTATCATCATATTAATACATAAACAAAATCACGTGCTTAAATACTTTTATGTTTGTACGTAGTTTGTCTAGAAATCTTCGAAGGCACTTATACATATACACCTAAATCTGTTTTTACACGGTAAATTGGTTCCAGAAAAAAACGTGTAAGTAAAGACATTGATCATATGCAAAATAATGCAAGAATTACAGGAGTTAGGAAAAACACGGAGCCTTTCACCCTTTGGGTACAGGCTATAGAAATTAAGAAAATTTAAAACAAAAGTTTGATCGATTTTACCTCTCGGCATTCGAACTCACGCAAAGGGTGTATAAATACACACTTACATAGCGATTTCGTCTAAGTGAGTGTATGCATGTCTCCGCGTGTCGCATTTGTTGTAAAAAGAAATGTAGCTTTTTTGCGCCTTTTATTCTCTACATGAAATGTACACCTAATTCTGTTTTTATTTATATTTATATTTTGATTTTCCCCACCTATGTGGGTTTTCCCGATTTTCCATTCGTATAATCGCAATATATCTCGAAGACTATAAGACCTAAAGACACAAAATTTTAGTCCCAGGTGCCTTATATGAATACGCAGAAAATTTGAAATTTCCCTCTCTCTCCTCTCCCACGCAATCACTGATTTTCCATAACTCTCGTATTTCTTGGAATTTTTCCTTTAAATTCGGAAAATACCTCCAGTTAGTGATTATGAGTCTGTATGCTGTTTCATGATAGGACGATTTAATAGGAAGTCAGGGTATAACAACTAGATTTGACGGGAAAAAAGCCAAATTGGCAACACTGCCTACGGGTACTGCGCCCGCACTTATTGACGTCAGAAGTGCTTTTTCCGCCCCTGTATAAACGTCAATGCTTGCATCGTGGATTTCTGTCTGTAACTGCATGACAAAGACAAAAACCAAAACATCATAAAGAATTTATGATGGAAAGCAAATTTATTTCTCACTTTTTTCGTTTCCTATAATGTGAAAACAAACATAAATAGACAAGACAAACAGAATTAGAGTTGTGTCCGTGAAAAAAATGACGTCAATTTTGTAACAATTCACTATCCCACACATTTACGTACAAATGTTTGCAAAACTTTTAAATTCTGATATCTTGTTATGTGACATGTTTTGTTTTTAAATTCATTTAAATGTTACACAATTTAGCAAAAATGTCAATTGCTCTCATCACGATAAGTACTATACATTATTCAAAATTTTATTTTTCTGGTAAAGTATTTGTAAACTCCAATACATTTGCATAATTTTTATTATTATTTATGTACTATTAATAAAATATTCTGGTTCTGTGAAGTCGTGAAACGTGCCTGTTCACAATCACGCACGCACTTACTTCCACCTCTATTTGGAATATTTATTTGTTGCGTTTCTATTTTCGCAAATCGTGAATTCAAATAAAATGCTCAATGACAAATGTACCAGCTCTCGAAACATATCATGTACGCACATACACATATGTACATAAATATGTACATATTTTTTGATGTTTATTTATTTCGTTGATATTATTTTGACTCAACGGTATGTAGCTGTTTGTGCTCGCATTACAATGTTTGCGTTTGCACTCGTATGAGCAAGGTTTAGTCAGCGGTCAGCTAGTGGAGTTTCTGCTCTATTCTTCCTACACAAAATAAGCTTGAAATTGTGAATATTGTGGCAGACTACGACAGATCATAATATTTAGAAGTACAGCTTTAGACTCTCTTGATTCGCTCCAAATTCCCCTCAACTATATTGCAAACTTCAAGCAATAGATATACATACATACTTGTACATTCATACATACAAAATTTTGTTGTTGCTGCACATGTGCTCTCGTTATGGTTGTGTGAGAGAGAGAGAGCGTAGTCCAGCGCTGTCATAATTTTTTGAGCAAAAACAGCTACATTGCCAAAAAAATAAAGCTAAAAAAGCTAAATCCAAGGCAAAATAAGCCAAAAACCAAACCGGATTTAAAAACACTATTTTCTTGGTTAAATTTAAGGAAATATCTGTCCTAATATTTTCATATTAATCATATATTCTTAATTCATAATCTATAATAATAATATAAGATTCTTGTAAAAATAATAATAGAAAATTCACATTAAAATCAAGCTAAAAATTCTACAGTTGTTCATCTAAACCCACTGCCTCTTCGTCATAACATGATTACGTCCGTATCTAAAATTAAAAATTAATAAATACAATTATGAATGTGGTTTATTTTGCTTACAAAAAACATAACTTAAGCTTAAAATGGAGTTAAGCGTATTTAAATTCATCCCATTTCTTAATTTGGATTTAACTAAGTTCACCTGGCTGAAGACCCTCTCCACTTCGCGAACATTTTGTT